ATGGAGGTTCCTCAAAATTTAAAAATAGAACTATCCTATGACCCAGCAATTGCACTGCTAGGTATTTACCCAAAGGATACAAAAATATTGATTTGAAGGGATACATGAACCTGATGTTTATAGCAGCATTGTCAGCAGTAGCCAAATTATGGAAAGAGCCGAAATGCCCATTGACTGATGAATGGATAAAGAAGATGTAGTATATATATATACATATATATATATGTATATGTGTGTGTATATATATGTGTGTACATACACATATATACATGTATATATATACATGTGTATATATGTATATATGTGTGTGTATATATACACACGTATATATGTACGTGTATATGTGTATATATATATACACACACACACACACACACACATACATACACAATAGAGTATTACTCAGCCATAAAATAGAATGAAATCTTGCCATTTGCAATGGCATGGATGGATCTAGGGAGCATTATGCTAAGCAAAATAAGTCATTCAGAGAAAGACAAATACCATATGATTTCACTTGTATGTGGAATTTAAGAAACAAAACAGGTGAACCATAGGGGGGATGAAAAAGAGAGAGGCAAACCATAAAACAGATTCGTAACTATAGAGAACAAATTGAGGGTTGCTGGAGGAGAGGTGGGCGGGGATGGGTTAAATGGTGATGTGTATTAAGGATGGCACTTGTGATGAGCAGTAGGTGTTCCATGTAAGTGATGAATCACTAAATTCTACACTTGAACTAATATGACACTGTACGTTAACTAACTGGAATTTAAATAAAAACCTGAAAAAGAAAAAAAATGGGCAGAGGATTTTGAACATTTTTCTAAAGATACACAAATGGCAAACAGACACATGAAAAGATGCTCAACATCACTGATCATCAGGGAAATGCAAATCAAAACCACAATGAGATACCACCTTATACCTGTCAGAATGGTTATAGTAAAAAAGACAAGAAATAGGAGTACCTGGGTGGCTCAGTCAGTTAAGCATCTGATTTTGGCTCAGGCCATGATCCCAAGGTCTTGGCATTGAGCCCTGCTTTGGGCTCCCTGCTCAGCGGGGAGCCTGCTTCTCCCTCACCCTCTGCTGCTTCCCCTGTTTGTGCTCTCTCTGTCAAATAAATAGATTAAAAAAGATAAATAACAAATGTTGGGGAAGATGTGTAGGAAAAAAAATATGATGCACTGTTGCTGCGAATGTAAATTGGTTCAGCCACTATGGAGAACAGTATGGAGGTTCCTCAAAAAATTAAAAATAGAAATACCACATGATCCGGTAATTCCACTACTGGGCATTCACCCAAAGAAAACAAAAACACTGATTTGAAAGATATATACATCCTTATGTTTATTGCAGCATTATTTACAATAGTCAAGATGTGTAAGCAACCCAAGTGACCACTGATAGAATGCATAAAGAAGATGCACACACACACGACACAGATAGATGGACACACACACACACACACAGGAATACTACTCAGTCATAAAAAGGATGAGATCTTGCCATTTGCAACAACATGGATAGACTTCGAGGGTATTATGCTGAGATAAGTCAGACAGAAAAAGACAAATACATATGATTTCACTTATATGTGGAATCTAAAAAACAAAACAAATGAATAAAAAAACAAAAAGCAGAAACAGACCCATAAATACTGAGAGAACAAACTGATGGATGCTAGAGGGGAAGGGGGGAGGATGGGCAAAATGGGTGAAGGGGAGTGGAATACAGAGGCTTCTAATTATGGAATGAAAAAGTTGCAGGAGTAAAAGGCACACAGCATAGTGAATACAGTCAGCCGTATTATAATAGCGTTGTATGGTGACAGATGGTAGCTACGCTTGTGGTGAGCACAGCATGACATATAAACTTGTCAAATCACTATGTTTTACCCCGGAAACGAATATTATGTGTCAACTGTACTTCAGTAAAAAGGAAAAGAAATTTACATTAATCTATACATCAGTTTGGGGAAAAATTGACATCTTTACTATGTTGAGTCTTCTAATCTCTGATCATAGAATGTCTCTCCATTTACTTGTCTTCCTTGGTTTCTTTCACCGGCTTTTTGTAATTTTCAAGCATACAAATTCTTTACATGTTTTGGTAAGTGTTTACCTAAGTACTTTCTTTTCTTTGCAACAATTGTGTTTTTAATTTCAGTTTCCACATGTTCATTGTTAGTACAGTATATAGAAATGTGATTAATTCTTGTTTGCAAGACATTGTATCCTGTGATCTTGCTGAACTCATTTATTAGTTTGAGGCTTTTTCTGTTTTTGTTTTTGTAGGTTCCTTGGGATTTTCTACATCAGCAATCATATCATCTGCAGATACGAAGTTTTACTTCTTTCTTTCCAATCTGTATGTTTATTTTTATTCCTTTCTTGCAGTGGCTGGAACTTCCAGTATTGTGTTGAATAAGAGTAGTGAGAGTGAGTGGACATTGTTTGAAGGGTACCTGGGATTTGTTTATACAGATATGGTAAGACAAGCACACATGGAAATGACTGCCATGATGGAAGTTTTTGTACTCTTATTCCTTAGAAAGAGGAAGGATAGCACAGCACATTACAGAAAGGGGCCACAAAGAGGAACACTGGGGTTAGTCAGGAGGCAGAGAAAGCAGGGGAAATGTGGGCAAGAGCTTTATTTGTGGTTTCTTTATGGGAGGAATGAGTGAGGCAGAGTAAGCAGGTTTAGCATTTGCAGGTTTGAATTTCAGTAGGCTCTAGAGTATAGGGCTGTTCCTAGTTGGGTCCCTGGCCCTAGAGTGATTAGGGTAGGGGGATAGAGCCCTGAGTGTGAAAGCCCAATAAAGGAGGTGATAAGGGGGTATGGACTCTGGATTGGTAGGTTTGCATTTGAAAGGCATGCTTGCCTGCAAGTTATTTACTATCCCCAAGAATTGGCTAGCCCTGGGAGGGGCAGTTTCTCAAGGGCCAGCAAGTCTCCACTGGTCAAAGCATCAGAATACAGAAAACTTCTAAAAGACAGGGTTAAAACAAGACAGCCTTGGTTCGTTCTCAATCTCAGGAGGAAAGCATTCAGTCTTTTACTAGTTTATGTTTAGTTTTTTGTAAATGCTCTTTATCAAGTTAGGTAGTTTCTCTCTATTCCAGATCTATTATTGATTATGAATGGATGTTAGATTTTTGTCAGATACTTTATCTCATCAATTGATATGATCATATTAATTTTTCTTTAGCCTGTGAATATAGTGGATTATGTTGAGTTTGAATGAACCAGCTTTGTATACTTGAAATTAAACCCCACTGGTTACGGTGTATAATTCTTTTTATAACGTTGTTGGCTTCAATTTGCTCATTTTGAAGATTTTTACACCTAAACTCATGAGAAGGACTCTCCAGAAGCAAGCACATCTCTAATACTAACAATGCCAGTCTCTAGTTTTATTTGTACTGTCTTTGTCTGGTTTGGGTATCAAGGATACCAACAACAAACAACAAACAAATCAAATAAATGTGAACTTATGGGTCACCCAAACTACCCTCACCCTGTTTGCTGAATTTTGACAGTGGCCATTTTTTTATCCTGAGTTTTACTGTCAGCAATTATTTATTGAGATCTTCACATTCTTTGTGTGGAATATTTATTTAATGCTGCACCTGACAATGCTATTTTTTTTTCCTACCTAAAAAATATCAACTCTTTTGAGAAAAGGAGCCAGGGCTATGCATAACTTACAAACAAACTCAATTTATTTGGTATAAGCAATTATATGCCTGACTGGTAAAATGAGATTTATAATTAAAAATAGTGACTTAAAAACAGAACTCAAAAACAAAAAAACAAACCAAACTAAACCAATCAAAAAACCAAAGGGCTAAGTTTCACAGGAATCTTAAAATCAAACTCTGAGTAATCCCTACATTATGATTAAACAGTTTAAAGGAAATACGTCTTTTTCCTTGCATAAATGAAATGTGAATAATTATAAAACTGTTTATATACTGTATTCATAAACATATTAGGATTCATGGTCTTCTCAATGTTGAGTAGATAAATACTGGGAATTTCACAGATGGATCAATAGGAATGCTGCTCTATTTGGCTGAATTACCTAACAATGCCAGTGCTTTATGAAAAAAAAACAAAACAAAAACAAACCACAATTTCCTGCATTTTCCTGTTATAATGAACAATTTACATGTTCTTTTTTTCTCCTTTCAGAGACTGTTTATACACCCTTATTATCTTCATATCCCTCTGAGTTTTACATCCTTTTATTCTTGAAAAAACATACTACATTAGTAGGCTTGAATTTTCATACCAAAAATGTCAAGTTTACTATTAACCACAAACCTAGCTAAACTCCTACTGCCTTTCAGAAGCTACCATATTTATCATTTGTTCTAAGTGACCATTTTGGTTTTTATTTTCATTTATTTATATAGCACACCTAATTCTCCTCTCTAAATGGTTAATCGTTTGTAAAACCTAGACCAGATGAGATCCAGGAGTATTAAGGCCTTAAAGATGTGCTTTAATTTTAAAAGGAATTAAAATTCCTTAAACTCTATAGCAGCATATCCACACTTCTAAGCATTCCAAAAATCTGAAGGGTAGACAGAAGAATTTTCTGTTACTACAAATAGAAAAATCATTGCAGAGCTCATGAACATTTCAAATACAATCATGAGCAATGCAAAGCTGGAACTGCCTCTTCATAGAATTGTCCTCTTAAACCATGAGAGACGATGGACTCTGAAAAACAAACAGGGTTCTAGAGGGGAGGGGGATGGGAGGATGGGTCAGCCTGATGGTGGGTATTGAGGAGGGCACATTCTGCATGGAGCACTGGGTGTTGTGCACGAACAATGAATCATGGAACACTTCATCTAAAACCAATGATGTAATGTATGGGGATTAACATAAGAATAAAAAAAAAAAGAATTGTCCTCTTAGTCAAGTGTTCAGGTATTTTTTTCAGAGGTGCATAAAATGAAATAAATCAGTCCTACACAAAATAATAAAAATATTTTACACTTTTATTTACAAATTAATTTCATAAACTATAATAAACATGAACAAACAATAAAGAAAATTACTGGCTTCTATCCATTATGGCTAGAAAAATAATTTACATAGATACCTAAATCTGCCTCCTGTTTCAGAGAAATTAATGTATGGCATATATATATTTTCAAATTGTAATTCTTATTCAGACTTAAAAACTGGGCACTGCTCTATTTTTTACATAGAATTATAAACAATCTTTTAAAAAATTAGGCTAAGAGTAAGTTTCTACTAGAATGGCTGAATTGCATAAAATTCAAAAATTTTATAAATTCCGTATTTCAATTTAATTAAATTAATTATGATTAATCTGTGGAAATATACAGAACAAATCTGCCAATCATCCACAATTAGGTCAAACTGTTATATAGGGGGAGAAATTTTACAATGGTCAGAATAAGATTTTATTCTTATTCTTGAAAGATAGCTTTGTTCCCAGTAAGTATTTCCTCTATCACTTCACTATACTTTAGGAGAACACATTCCCAATCCAAAAAGAAACAACATAGAGCTATTTGACTTTTTGTTTTTTTCTTGCTTGAAACTGCTCTGTTTTATTTTTTACAGATTTGATCAACATTGACAAGGCAGGATCGATGGATCTCTTCTGTGATTCCTTTTGAATTTCACTCTCTTTTGTCTTCATTGTCTGAGTAAGTTCTTGTTCTTTTTGTTCTCTCTGCCGGGCTTTCTCCTCAAGGATTTTTTCCATAGCTTTTGTTTTCTTGAAATTAGGATCTGAAGGATCCAAATTGAACAAGTGGGAAGTATACATTGCTTGAAACCGTGCATCCTTAACATTTACCTGCAAATCCAAAACGGAAACGAATAATTAAATTAGTAAACCAAAAGGACCAGAAACGGGGCCAAATTTTGAAAGTGAGCTGTCGATCATATAAAATACAATGTGAGTGTTTTGCATTGATTCATTAGAAAACTGTTTTCCCACAGATCTTCAATGGAGTTTTTTTTTTAAAGATTTTATTTATTTATTTGACAGAGAGAGACACAGCGAGAGAGGGAACACAAGCAGGGGGAGTGGGAGAGGGAGAAGCAGGCTTCTCGCTGAGCAGGGAGCCCGATGTGGGGCTCGATCCCAGGACCCCGGGATCATGACCTGAGTCGAAGGCAGACGCTTAACGACTGAGCCACCCAGGCGCCCCTCTTCAATGGAGTTTTAAGGCCTGCTCTTGGAAGTCATTAAGTAGTTGCTGACATCAGTTTGTAGACTTTTTTGTATAGGCTCAAACTCACACATAGGAGTGAATGGCCTTTAGGAATAAGTTCTTATTAGCAAAAAGATGGAAAAGAGGGAGTGACAGAAACAAAGAGCTGTAGCAATAAAAAAAAGCATGGCCTACTGCAGTGGCCACTGTACACAGTGTATGTGTGACACGATGTGACATGAACCTGCTCTTTCTCAGTCAAGCTTGAGTATGTATATCTTTCCCATCATGAGCATCACATTGCATATGATTCTAACATTAAAAGCTAGGTATTTAAAAAAAAAAAAAAAAAAAGCAGCAAAGCCATAGCTTTGGTGCAACGAAAAAACAAGCCAATACTTCACCTGGTGCTCAACTAAACAGTGATTTGATCCACCCTGGATGAACTGGCTATTTTGGACTAAAAGATGGCAGCTTTGGCTCCACTGTGGGCCTTTCCTAAGACATTTCAGACTAACTTTGGCTGTGCTCAATGCTCATCTCCAGAGCCAACTTTAAATTCAACCCAGCTTTAAGAGGTGTCCCTGGTTACCTCAAAGTCATCCTCTAATAATTCCTTCTTTTTCATAAGCTGTTTTTTCTTCTTTTTGCTCAGATTCTGGTGCTCTACAATCTTGTTGTAATTGAAGTGTTTCTTACTCTCTTCCTCCTCATCCATCACGAGCAAAGCCATTTCAGCCTGTGGAGGGAAAAAAAAAAAATCAAATATACAACAGTGCTTTTTTTCCCCAAACTGAAGTATGGGGCACAGATAGCCCCTCTAGGAAAGGAGAACCCAGTCGCTAGTGCTCTGGGATGACATCTGTCATCCATAAACTGATTGTGGATTACCAAAACTCATAAAGAAACTCAGAGATCTTTGTAGAGCAATGAGATAAAATTTTTAGAAGCAACATCACCAAGAGCAGGAGAGGAGTGAAAATTTGTATTTAAAACCAGACCAAAGGGGCACCTGGGTGGTTCAGCCAGTTAAGCGTCTGCCTTTGGCTCGGGTCATGATCCCAGCGTCCTGGGATCGAGCCCCGCACTGGGCTCCCTGTTCGGCGGGGAGTCTGCTTCTCCCTCTCCCTCTGCCTGCCACTCCCCCTGCTTGTTTTCTCTCTCTCTGTCAAATAAATAAATAAAATCTTAAACAAAACAAAACAAAAAACCCAGACCACATTTCACTTCATGTAACTGGTTAATAGGCTATAGAAAAGAGTCCTCAAACCCCCAAATAAAAATTTCTCATTTTCACTTCGGTCTTTTCAGGCAATGACACTAAATCTAGCAAACATGTAGTATTCTGTGAAACAACCTACACTTTCCAAACATGTGCTTTAACAGCAAGGAATTTTTTTTCTTTTGCTTTTTTTGCCTTTACTTTTTCAAAATTGATACATTTCTATGAAGGCAGAATCTTAATATTTGCTTCTGAAATATGTCTGTTTCCACTAAACAGTGGAATTTTCTTCCAACCATGGGATTAAACATGAACCTTTAGGAACCAAGTAAACAACCATGTGTACGAGAGAAAATACAGAGTATACTGCCAAACCTTTGTGAATCTTTCTATACTACCACTTTAGATTATTTTTTTTAAAGATTTATTTATTTGTCAGAGAGAGAGAGAGCACGCACACATAGGCAGAGGGAGAAGCAGGCTCCCCACTGAGCAGGGAGCCCGATGCGGGATTCGATCCCAGGGCCATGGGATTATGACCTGAGCTGAAGGCAGATGCTTATTAACCAACTGAGCCACCCAGGCGTCCCTAGATTGTTCTAATTTTCTTTTACTTCCATCACTGGCACCTGCAGTTGCCTTTCTTTTAAGAACCATTTTCCACAAAAGAAAGATTTTTTTTTGCACTCCTTTACTCTATGAGCATTACTGTATGTGCAATAAATAAATGGAGGATAGAAAAGGTGCATTAGCATGCAGAGTTTAGGTGACCAGTTAGGCTCACTCCCAGGCAGTGACATGAACATTGGTCATTGGGACATTGTTGACTCCAACTCCTGCCTCAGCAAAAATACATATTAATCTGTGCCATGGATCTTTGGAGTCAGTGAAGCATAAAGGTCACTGCATTTCCAAGAAAGACTTTAATTTTGCACATTACATTTATGTTGTTTGCAATAGTAAGAGAGAAATTAGCACTTGATAACAAAAACAAAGTTTGAATTATAGGGCAGATTCAGATTGAATTAAAACTTATGGCAATATTTTCTTGTGTCTGTTGGCCATTTTTATGTCTTATTTAGAGAAATGTCTGTTCGTGTCTTCTGTCCATTTCTTGACTGGATTATTTGTTTTGTGGGTGCTAAGTTTGCTAAGTTCTTTATAGATTTTGGATACTAGCCCTTTATCTGATAAGACATTTGCAAATATCTTCTCCCATTCAGGTTTCTTTTGGTTTTGTCAACTGTTTCCTTTGCTGTGCAAAAGCTTTTTATCCTGATGAAGTCCCAAGCTCAACATCACTTGGCATCAGGGAAATACAAATCAAAACCACAATGAGATACCACCTCACACCAATCAGAATGGCTAAAATTAATAAATCAGGAAACGACAGATGTTGGAAGAGATGCAGAGAAAGGGGAACCCTCCTACACTGTTGGTGGGAATGCAAGCTGGTACAGCCACTCTGGAAAACAGTATGGAGGTTCCTCAAAAACTTGAAAATAGAGCTACCCTATGACCCAGCAATTGCACTACTGGGTATTTACCCCAAAGATACAAATGTAGGGATCCGAAGGGGCACGTGCACCCCAATGTTTATAGCAGCAATGTCCACAATAGCCAAAATATGAAAAGAGCCCAGATGTCCATTGACAGATAAATGGATAAAGATGTGGTGTATATACACATGGAATACTACTCAGCCATCAAAAAAAGAAATCTTACCATTTGCAATGAACTGGATGGAATTAGAGGGTATTATGCTAAGCAAAATAAGTCAATCAGAGAAAGACAATTATCATACGATTTCACTCATATGTGGAATTTAAGAAACAAAACAGAGGATCATAGGGGAAGGGAGGGAAAAATAAAATAAGATGAAATCAGAGAGGGAGACAAACCATAAGAGACTCTTAACTATAGGAAACAAACTGAGGGTTGCTGAGGGGAGGTGGGTGGGAGGTTGGAGTAACTGGGTGATGGGCATTAAGGAGGGCACATGATATAATGAGCACTGGGTATTATAGGCAAATGATAACTCACTAAACTCTACTTCTGAAACTAGTAATATACTATATGTTAATTAATTGAATTTAAATTTAAAAAGTAAAAAAATTTAAACTTATGGCAATATTATTTCAAGGTTTTAATAGCATTTTTTTGTCTTAGTTATAGTAAGATTTTTTTTTTTAGGATTTTATTTATTTATTTGACAGAGAGAGACACAGCGAGAGAGGGAACACAAGCAGGGGGAGTGGGAGAGGGAGAAGCAGGCTTCCCATGGAGCAGGGGGCCCCATGTGGGGCTCAATCCCAGGACCCTGAGATCATGACCTGAGCTGAAGGCAGACACTTAACTACTGAGCCACCCAGGCAACCCTATAGTAAGAATTTTTAATAGTGACTGATTTTCCTCTAAATCAAAAAGGGACATGACCTGGGTTTGAGATAAAATTTCAACTTTGTATTAGCTGGAAAAATGTCTGGTAAAAACTACACTGCTAGGAGCACCTGGGTGGCTCAGTTGGTTAAGCATTTGACTTGATTTCAGCTCAGGTCATGATCTCAGGTTGTGAGATGGAGCCCCCACATCGGGCTCCCTGTTAAGCAGGGAGTCTGCTTGAGATTCTCTCCCTCTGCCCCTCCCCTCCATGAGCACGACCTCTCTCTCTCTCATATAAATAAATCTTTTTAAAAAATCCTACATTGCTAAAACATTTAATTATGTGTTTTATAATTTATTTATAAATTTCTTTGCTAAAATCAGTTATTTTTTTATTAGGGACATTAGAAACTCATGTAGACAACTTCATTTAAATTGTACATATCAATTATCCACTAGGAATGTAGCAATGATCATGTTTTACCTTTTGTCTTTCTATTTCAGCATCTTCCACTAGAGATGTGCAATCTTTTGTAGATTTCATTGATTTTTTCTTTTCTTTTATACCTGGCACAACAAACCAACACAGAAGGGTGAAAAAATTACAAGACTATCCATGACATTCTATTTACACTAGGAAGTCAGGATTATTCCTAGGTATCTAGGAATAATCTTATAAATAAACGTAGAGAAACTAAAAGAAGTAAAAAATGTCAGTGGAGATAACTACGGGTATGAATGAAATAAATACATCTGGATACGGTGACTGAGTATTATAAAGAAGGGATTTCTTCTGAAAGTAGTGCATAATTACATCATTAAGTAAAAAAGAAAAACCATGAGATCATTTGAAAAGATACAGAGTAAGCACTGGATAAAATTCAACATCCATTCATACAATAGAACAGTATGGCTTAGTGTGTAATAAAATGCACTATCATACATTGTTGGAAAAAGAAGGGATTATTCAATAACTGGTGCTGGGAAATCTGCTTTATTCTGGGGGAAAAAATCGAGTTATAACCTCACCTCATAATGTACAGGGAAATAAAATGCAAATGGACTAAAGAGTTAAACATTAAAAAAAAAAAACAAAAAAACAAACCTATGAGAATTCCAGAAGACTAGTTACCTGATCTTAAATAGAAGAAATATTTTCTTAGAGTAAGAATAATAGAAGAAATCACAAAGAAAAAAAAAGTGATTTTAATACATAAACTCTTAAAATTCTATATATAAAAAACTCACCTGGAAAATGAAAAATTCATCTCTACAATAAGAATTTCATAGTAAAAGTTTAACAATTTTTCCTTCTCTAAAGACAAAAACTGATCTTCAATTAACTTACCAGCCCTATTATTAAGCAAAACTACTTATGGTAAAAGTGGCTCCTGATTGGTAACACTGCTTGTATCTCCGGGGACTCTGGGACTTCTGGAGACCACAAGATGTTAGAGGAGATGTTCTTGTCCTGAATGAGAGGTAGTCATGTGCAAGAGTTAAGGGCACTTGAATCTGGAGCAGTTTGCCTGGGTTTAAGTTCTAGCTATATCACACTTACGCTGTGGCAGTTTGGGCCTGTGCCCTCATTTGTAAAATGACAATTCTAATAGTAGCACCTACCTCACAGGGTTATTGTGAGGACTAAATAAATTGGTAAATGTGAAGAGCTCAGTTAATGCCTGACACATGGTGCTATAAAGTGCTTGCTATTACTACACATAAATAAGATGTCCTGGGGGGCACCTGGGTGGCTCAGCTGTTAAGCGTCTGCCTTCGGCTCAGGTCATGATCCCAGGGTCCTAGGATCGAGCCCCGCGTCAGGCTCCCTGCTCAGTGGGAAGCCTGCTTCCCCCTCTCCCACCCCCTCTGCTTGTGTTCCCTCTCTCGCTGTGTCTCTCTCTGTCAAATAAAAAAATAGAATCTTTAAAAAAAAAAAATAATATGTCCTGGGTTCCTCAGTGATCATGCTGATGCCTTATTTTTTCTTCCTTTTTCTTGTGTCTGTTGGAGCAGGAGGGGTGCAAAAGGGATTGGCATCAGGATGCTAAAGTATGAAAGACTAGTCTAATGAGTAAGACGTTTCAGAATCTACAAAGACATGTTGTATTACTCTAGAATATTATTACACAATGCCAATCTTCTCTACTGAACGCTGTCCTCTTTGGCTAAGAAACCAATGGTCTCTAAGGTAATAATGATTAATGCTTACATAGCACTTACTGTGTATCAGGCAGTAGCATTGTTCTACTCACTTTACATATACTAACTAATATAATCCTCACAACAATGCTATGAGGTAGATTCCATTATTTGTTATAATCTTCATTCTGTGGATGAGGAAACCAAAGCACAGAGAGATTAAGTAATTCTCTCAAGTTTAGTAAGTGAAGAAACCATGATTCAAACCCAAGCAGTCCAGCTCAGGCTCTCTATTGTTAATCACTAAACAACACTCCTTTTTTATCGAATGTCCTTCTCCTTTTAACAACTCTTTCTGTTTAAAATACATTTTGTCGTGAAATAATAAATAAATTCACAAAGCATATAATGGTTGAATAACTGCAGCTGATGAGGGGTAACAGGAAAAACGAAGCCTAAAAGTTGAGAGAGGCTTTAGAAACTGCTCTGTGAGCACTAAGTCCCTGCCGTACTTTTGCAGACGTGCCCAGCTGAGAGAAAATGCCAGCATACAAGTGCTGCTTAGGATCACCCTTCAGTGCTACCAAGGCATCTGTCTACACTTCCAGGAAGAAATAGTTGTAGACAGCCCTTTTTCCTAAAGTGAAAGCCTTTACTGTTCCTATATCAAATGTTTTTAAGGAAATGATATATCTACTTTCAGATTATAACTTTTTCTCTATTTTAAAATATGTGTATATTTATATATAATATCATCAAGGTTCCACTTTCTTAGGGTCTGACTTCTACACCCTAAGTTTACTTCTGCTCCTATGTTCTCAAGGCAAGAGCTCCTTTTGAAGTGAATAGACAAGTGACATATGCAGAAGATAGTTCTGTGGCAGGAAAAAAAACCAGGCTGTATATGATTAATACATAAAGGAGATAAAGATCTTCATATACAGCTGTGGGAAATAATTTCAAAGAACCCACAATGAACTGTTCCTGATTTTATAACAACCTGGTGAAAAGTCATAAAAATAAACTTGAAAGAAAGATTGTAGGAAAGGAGGAAAAAAAGAATCTCCAAAATGGTCAGGGCTAAAAATGATATCCAATTTTAACATGATGAGTATTTCTTTACTCACAAAGAATTTACTCTGCTGGTCCAAACTGTTTAGCCAGAAGATAAATAATGTGCAGAGATCTTTTCTGCACTGTTAACAAGATCATATTAAGAGGGCACATCTTAATTTCTTTTAAAAAGCATTTTTTTTTCTCTTTGGAAAGCTATTAGACCTAAGTTAGATAAAGAGTACTAGGGAAATGAAAATTCCTGTTCTGAAAGGTAATCTTTATTTTTCAGTAAATCTTTTGGCAAGTAAGAGACCACGTGTCCTGGGACTGCTGAGAAAAGGACATATGGTTGATTCTAACACACTGAATACTAACAGAGATTCCAGATCAGATATGGATTAAAAAAATAAATCTAAAAATCCTTACTGAGGCTACTATCTCTTTAAGCAAAAGATGTAACAGAATATATTTATGGAAAAAGATGTGTTGCAAAAACTTGATCTGTAAAAGGAGTATCTGTAAAGGAAGTTCCATTTTCCATTACTTGTAATGTCCGAGAAGTATTCTCATAAAAAACTTCCTCCAAAGGGTTTAGCTGAGCACTTCGTACCAGAATAGTTAAAAGAATTCACTGGAGGGCAAATGCGGTCTCAGTACTGACCAGACTGGAGTGGTAAGCCCCCTTGCAATTCACTGTTTTTTGTAGCAAGTTCCAATGCCCATAATTAGATACAGTCTGTTAATCGTCCTCTGGACCTGGGCATTCTGGCTTTGCTTGGAAATCCAGCAATTCCCCAGGTCCACCTCTTATACACATGGGTCCTGGCTCTGGCTTCGGTCTTTACAACATACTTACTTTGAGGGTGACAAAAAGTAAAGAGAGTCCATTAAGACTCAAGTTCTACCATCTACCACTGACCGTTGTACAATTCAGCTATGTTTTTTGAGCTCCAATTTACTCATCTATAAAGTGGGCTGAAGTTTAGAGGACAGGATACAAATATAAGCATTTTTAAACTGTAGACCAACATATACAAGCAATTTGATATAAGCACTCAACATACTGACTAAATGAATCAAGTATATGTAGCATATTATCAGATTTTCATGGTAGTTTATCAAATATCTAAAGTTGTCAAAGGATACATTTTAATAGGGTATATTTACATGTGATATACTTTATTTTACTCCTACTTCTTCAAAAACAAAATCTTATTAAGGAGTTTATGTGATTAGACAGACATAAACAAATTTTTCCAATACAGCTGATCCTTGAACAACACAGAAGTTAGGGGCACTGACCCCCCACAGTTAAAAATCCACATATACCTTTTGACTCCTCCAAAACATAACTACTAATAGCCTACTGTTGGCCTGAAGGCTTAATAACATAAAGAGTTGATTCATACATATTTTGTGTATTTGTTAGTATCTATTTTTACAATAAAGTAAGCTAGAGAAAAGAAAAATGTTATTAAGAAAATATAAAATACATTTACAGTACTGTACTGTATTTATCATAAAAAATCCACGTAGGATGGAACTGGAGGGTATTATGTTGAGTGAAATAAGTCAAACAGAGAAAGACATGTATCATATGATCTCACTGATATGAGGAATTCTTAATTGCAGGAAACAAACTGAGGGTTGCTGGAGTGGGGGGTGGGGTGGGAGGGATGGGGTGACTGGGTGATAGACACTGGGGAGGGTATGTGCTCTGGTAAGCGCTGTGAATTGTGCAAGACTGTTGAATCTCAGATCTGTACCTCTGAAACAAATAATGCAATATATGTTAAGAAAAAAAAAAAGAAGAAGAAGGTAGCGGGAGGGGAAGAATGAAGCGGGGGAAGTTGGAGGGGTAGACGAACCATGAGAGACGATGGACTCTGAAAAACAAACTGAGGGTTCTAGAGGGGAGGGGGGTGGAAGGATGGGTTAGCCTGGTGGTGGGTATTGAGGAGGGCACATTCTGCATGGAGCACTGGGTGTTATGCACAAACAATGAATCATGGAACACTTCATCTAAAATTAATGATGTAATGTATGGGGATTAACATAAGAATAAAAAAAAAATCCACGTAAAAGTGGATTCACGGTTCATAGTGCAGTTCATACCCATGTTATTCAAGGGTCAACTGTATTTCATTTCTAAGAAAAAAGTAACTTTTAACTCATTCTAGAAGTACATTATATTTTTGAAACTCTCATTTGTTATCAAGTTTGCAGTTTAGGAAAAAACAGAAAAAAAATATAGCAAGTTTATAGTGTAGGGGGAAAAATGAGAAAAGATTTCTAGTACTCACACTGGCTCCTAACCCAAGCCAAACACCAGGTCTGGCATTAATTAACGAACTCAATTCCTCCATAGTTTGAAGAGTATGTAAGTTTAGCTCTACGGGAATGCCAAGGGCAAAGGTGTTATAAATGTATCCAAGTCCATCTGGCTTAAAATGTCTCTGTCCTGCTCAACCATGGGGTTTGAACTATACACCCTTCCAAACACTAATGCTTTTCTTCCTATTCCACAGCTGCTCCTCAGTTTCTTCAACGTTCCCCCTACCTTCCAAGTAGTACCTTCGCCAGTATGACAGAGTAATAGTACCTTGTGTAGGCTTTACCCAACCTCGGAGCCCAATCCTGCATCCTCATCTCTTATCAATGCTTTTCACCTCCAGTTCAATGGTTTGAAATACTATTTATATGCTACTAATTCCTAAGTTTATATCTGCACTGACTTCTCAGCTGATCACCCAGACTCCTTTATAAATGTAACATAACACCTCCAACCATCTCAAAGTGATTATAACCAAAATGGACCTACTGACCTTACTTCCCACCCAAACCTATTGTTCCTACATTCCTTCCTAACTCAGTAAATGGAAGAATATTCTTCCAGAGACTCAAACCAAAAATCTAGAGTTATGCTAAATTACTTCCTTATTCAAGTAAGTCAGCAAGTCTATATCCAAAATATATCTAGAATTCCATTTACTTTTCTCCTTCCAATTCCATTACTGGCATGCCATCTAAACCAACCATCATCTCTTGCAAAGTCTGGTCTCCCAGTTCTCACCAATGCTTCAATCTGTACTCTTCACAGGAACCAGAATACATACCAGATCATGTCATGTTCTTGCTTTAAAGACCCTTCAGTGGCTTCTCACTGTCAGGAGAGCAAAATCCAAATGTGTTGCCACGACACAAAACCCTGGGTTGATTCTGTGTCCAGCCTGGCCTCATACCAAACTCCTCTGACCATGCTCCAGCCACATCAGGGTCTTTCAATTTCTCCAACATGACAATTCTTTCTCACCTCACAGCCTTTCTATCTCTTACCTCTCATTTGCAACATTCTTTATGCAGGACTCCTCATTCTACAGGTCTCAGCCAAATGTCATCACCTCAGAAGTCTTTTTTGCCTACCCTATGTCTACAGTAAGCTACTCTCCTTCCTCTCAGTTATATCCTCTATATTACCCTATTTTCTTTAAAACACTGACCATATTCTCATAATATTCTTATTTGTTTACCTGTTTAGCATGTCTTCCCTAATACCATAGACTTCTCAAGAAACATAACCTTGCTTATATTATTACTGCTCTACCTTTAGCTTAGCAGAGTGTCCAGCACCTAGTAGGTAATACTTATTGTTTGAATGAATAAACAAACATGGCAAGATACTATTTTTTGGCCCTAAATTTTATTAAAAAAATTCTCAGCCTTTTTGTTTTTCTTTTTCCTTTAAAGAAACAACTTCAGCCCAGATATAAATAATTACTCCTAGGATATACTCTGAAATCAAAAGTATATTGAAAGCAAAAAATTTTATCTATACTTTCCCTTGGAACTTTTGCTACTACCTTTCGAGGAAGCTTATTCACAATTTAAATGTGCTGATTCCAGGAAACAAGCTACCCCAAGCCATCAAAACATTTTTAACTTACTCTTTGAATCCTACCCTGAGTTCTAAAGTCTGACTAGAATGTACATGCCAAATGAAGCACTTTGGAATGAGAACAAGGAAACTATAATGCTTTGCATTTCTCCATTATAAATTTGGTTTCCTGAAATCAGAGGATAAGGCTAAAATCCATCATCTTCTAGAAATGACCACTCAGGTATGATAAAAAGCAGAATATGCTAAGTTTCCATTTCCCTTTCCAATTCCTAAGAATATGACATCCTATAATAGACTTTATTCATCTTGATCTCCTTTTCATCAATAAAATGTCAGTGCTAAAAGGCTATAAAAACCAGGAAATAATTTTGAGCAATTTTGACTTTCCTGTTGAGAACTATTCTGGCCCACTAGTCACAAGGGACAAGAAGCAGGGAAATTTCATAAAATCCTTCTCTTTACAATGCCAGCTTGGAGTTGCTCCAGGAGCAAGTCTTTTGGAGTTCATGTGTGTGGTATTTAGATCAGGGAAAGGCAAAATGCATGAAAACAAATGGAAAATGCTTACAGTAGTCTCTGCACTGACCTAAGTACGGCCTGAACCTTACCACACACATTTACACATACCAAAAAGGTAAGAATGAAAGCATTCAGGAAAGAATGAGCAGTGCATATGCAATGGAAACAAAGCTCCTTGGATATAGGAAATTGAATGCCCAGATAGTTCAGGGATCCAAGGAAAAAGGGGAGGAAGCTGGCTTTCATCTATAATGATGAAGTAGGATAAATGTAAAATGGATAAAATGGAACATAGATGTTTTTGTATATTTGAGCAGAGAAGTTTTTATACGTTATATAACACTGTAAAAATTAAAAGAAATTTATATACACATCCACGTGAACATAAACAAATTTTTCACTTTCACTTTTTCACAGCCTTCGCAAAGACCTAGAGTAGATGCATCATAAAAAAGCAGTGAAAGCACACAAGAAGCTGACTTCCTTTTTCTTTCATCCTTTCTCTCATCAATCCTTCTACAAGGATATTTCTGAGAAAGGAATCCCTGGTAAACCATTAAGTCAATCACATCACCAAAACCCTCCTAATGAAATTACCCCTTGTATGTATAGGAGGCATGCCGACCCTTCCTGAGCTGAGAGATATTTATACCCCATTGGACAGACTGCTTATAAGCCACTAAAAGAGCTACACAAATTCTAGGATTTTAAGAGAATGAGTAGTTTATATTGTTTCTACCCATGACACCTTTTTAAAAAAAATTCCAATTAAAAACTCAAATATGGGCTGGCTTACCTATTTTTGTAATTTCTTCAGCAAAGTATGGGTCATTCAAATCAACATCAGAGGGAAGTTCATCTTCACTACCCTCTTCAGCAAGAGCCTTAAAGTTGAATATAAAAATACATGTAGTTTATTACGAAGACCATGAAGGAAAATCCTATCATTTCTTTTAAATCAAATAGTTCAATCTAGAATTACACCAGTTTTTAAAATGGATTGGTTTGTAAACTCCCATCTGAGTTATTCTTTTGTTTGTTCAACAAATATTTATGGAATATTTAATAAATATAGAAAATTATGTAGGGTTTTTGGAGAAATGAAAGCTATCAGATACATGGTTTCTGTCTTTAAAAATTTTACAATTTATAAGCAAAAGCTAGACACATAAACAGACACATATGTCAGTAATAGTAGTTCAAGATAGGAAGTGCTAGAAGAGGCAAAAATGAAATGATACAGACATTCAAAAGAGAAGAACACTTTTATGTGGTTGACAGCGAAAGGAGGTGGCCTTTTCTCTCACAAAACTGAGAAATTGCAGTGACTATCAATAGTTTGAAGTAGTACATTGTGGGTTATCATTTAAATTATTTAAAATAATTTATTTGCAGGTTAAAAAAAGTGATCTTTTATTATGACAATTAAAACATATACAAAAGCAGTAAGGACAGCTTAATGAAGCTCCTGTTCTTATCACCCAATTTCAACAATTATCTTGTTTTATCTGTAATCCACCCCTGAAAACCCTTTGGCTATTTTTAAGAACTGTTGGTTAAATTTTTCCTAATTAAATTTGAACAAACGGTCTACTAAATTAGAATATTTAAATTAAAAATCAAACCTATAAAATAAATAGAACATATGAACTAAGATCATACTAACCAGACTGAGTTTTATTCCCAGGAACCTAAAAAATGAGTCATTTTAATAAAAATATTTAGAGTATATATTGCTAAACATCACCCTGCATGCTGAAAAAGACCCACCAAGCCCTAAAGAGCATTCATTTGGATATTAATATCCTTTTTAAAAAATACTTAATTATTTATTTTGGAAAGAAAGAGAGAGAACACAAGCGAGAGGGGCAAAGGGAATCTCAAGCCGATTCGGCGCTGAGCAAGGAGCCTGATGAGGGCCTCAATTTCACGACCCTGAGATCACGACCTGAGCTGAAACCAAAAGTTAGATGCTTAACCAACTGTGCCACCTAGGTGCCTGATATTAATATCCTTTTAAGAACAAGAACTAAAAATTTTTCACCAAACTCTTACAACAGATTCAGTAATAATATGATGTTTCTAACAAAGATTATGTAATACCTACATATCTAACTAAATATCTATTCACGTATTTCTTTAACTGCTTTTAGAGCTAAATTATAGCTATATCAACTTTGACACATAACCATGTATTCATTTATTAATAATTTCTCAATTTCAGGGCGCCTGGGTGGCTCAGTCGTTAAGCGTCTGCCTTCAGCTCAGGTCATGATCCCAGGGTCCTGGGATCGAGTCCCACATTGGGCTCCCTGCTTGGTGGGAAGCCTGCTTCTCCCTCTCCCACTCCCCCTGCTTGTGTTCCCTCTCTCGCTGTCTCTCTCTCTCTCTGTTGAAAAATAAATAAAATCTTTAAAAAAAAATAATAATTTCTCAATTTCAAAATTGAAGTCACAGAGAGGAAAAGGGGAAAAATATTTTTAACATGAAGGAAATTCTTGAAACTCTTCTCTATATGAAAAACTGTGGATGGAAGGGATCTGCTGGAATGCAGCACCAATCCAGCACAGAGCACTGAGTTTAGAACAAACTGGCTTTCAACAGATGTATTTTTAATGGCAATAATAAAACGAGTTGTCTTAGCCCAATGAAGGGAAAGAGTAAAAGCACAAGATAAGCTCAAAGTGCCCAGCAAATGAAAATCAAAAAGAATAGCTGCTGAAGGTCTCAGAAACAAGTGACTACTTTATTGACCCAAAAAGGACCCACTTGTAAATTTTACAATAAACTGATGGTTTAATAACTTATGAGATTATTCCATTTAGAAGATATTTTACTGCTTACCTTAGTTTTAAAAGAAGTTCTAAGGAAGAAGAGAGGCAACCTATCAATGGGGACAGGGCTCTTACCCTCTATTCTCATTTTATTATCTATTTCCAGAAACACTGACTAAAATAGAGGAGTATTAAAAATCCCTCCAGTGCATCATTCAATTTTGCAGCCCTCTATATTTACAAGCACTGAAAGTCACAGCTGTACCAAAAGCACAAGCCTCTGCAGGACAGAGAGAAATAATACTGTACAGTAGAAAGGACACTGGAGTGAGAGATCTGGATTCCGGTCTCAGCTTGGTCATTAACAAGCTGTGTAGCTGGAGATAAATCAGTTATTTTTCTACAACTATAAAGCATCAGGATTGGACTAGAACAAATCATTTAAGATTACTCAAACTGCAAAATTCTGTGATTACTGATACTATCTTAAGGCAATAACTATACTGTTAGAATGCTGAATTTTAGTGATAAGATAGAGTATTTTTAGTGGCAAAAACTGTTAAGTGGTCTCTGCTATTTCTAAGGACTCTGATGGAAAAGATGTTATCCTCAAATTATGGGAGTCAAATTAGATTTTTCAAGACAACATATTAGTGCAGAGGAAATATCCTTAATTAAAGGGATTTAATGACAAGATGTTAATAGATCCATATAATACTGAAACGTGAAAAATGCAGGTTGAGAAATGTAGAGAAAAAAATTTCACTCATGTCAAAAATTTCTATATGTAGGGGCACCTGGGTGGCACAGTTGGTTAAGTATGCGACTCTTGGTTTTGGCTCAAGTTGTGATCTCAGGGATATGAGATCGAGCCCTACGTCAGGCTTCGCACTTATTGCGGAGTCTGCTTAAGACTCTTTCTTCCTTTCCCTCTGGCCCTCCTGCTTGTGCTCTCTCTCTCAAATAAATAAATCTTAAAAAAAATTTCTGTATGTATATATCCTCAAGTAAAAAATTCTGTATGCATCTTTCTTCCTCAAAAACACAAACAGAATTGAACTGTTTTATATCTACGTATCAACTAAACTATGTATCTTATAGGTGACATACTTAAAGGTAAAATTCTAGAACATTGTAGTTAAAGTGGCTCTGGTCTTTTATTAGGATTTGTACCTCATTACATCGCTTTGCAGAAAACACTTAAGCTACTGGGTTTTTCCCTTCCTCTTTCTTAAAATTGTGATGATAACAAGGCCTATTCTACTGAGTGGTTACCTTATGAGATAATGGATGCCAAGCACCTGGTACCTTCTGATACATGGTTGTTGTTCAATAAGTATTTGCTTAAAATATCATTGATACCGGGGCGCCTGGGTGGCTCAGTTGGTTAAGCGACTGCCTTTGGCTCAGGTCATGATCCTGGAGTCCCTGGATGGAGTCCCGCATCGGGCTCCCTGCTCAGCAGGGAGTCTGCTTCTCCCTCTCCCGCTCCCCCCCTCTTGTGTTCTCTCTCAAATAAATAAATAAAATCTTTAAAAAAAAAAAATATCATTGATACCTTCTGTTTCTTCTTCAGTCTTTTTTTCTCTTTCTTCTTCTCTAAAAATTGTTCCCAAGGGGTCAATTTATCTTTTCCTTCCAATTTGTTTTTGACCATTTCTTCTGCACTTTCTTTCAGACCTAAGAAAAAACACAGAGTTCAGTTTAAAATGTTGTATCTTCATTCATTAAAAATGTAATTTACCCAAAAAAATAATTTACATATATTTACCAGAGTAACAAAATAAAATGCAACACTAAATTGTGTAATACTCCCAAATCAGAGAAATATAGGATCAACTCATATCAAAGCTATTTCCTAATAAAAAACAACAATAAACTTAACCAAACCAAAATAAATAAACAAACCTAGCAACTTGATATATAGTCAGGCCACTGAAGAAAAATCTTTTATTTAGGTTCAAATTTCATTTCTATATACTTAATTGCTTTGAGACACTAGGAAAAATCCTGGAACAAAATCTTCTCAGGATATGACTACTAATTCATTTTTGATGGCAAACAGGTAAGTAGTCTTTAACATAATTATCTCTAATTGCTTCTGTTGCCCAAATAAAAGCATTCCTTGGAAACCATAGGAGACTAACAAAAATTGATTAGTAAGGCAATCCTTGTTGAAATACCCCCGGAGGAAAGAATTCTCATAATCTCTCCTCAAGTACTATATGAGATACATCCTTATGATCAAAAGGACCACCAAGGTCAGATTCCACTTTGTATGGTTTACCTCTTTCAATGTTATTTGCTCTTTTTAAAAAAAATTTTTTTAAAGATTTTATTTATTTGAGAGAGATAGAAAGAGAGTGAGAGAGCACAAGCAGGGAGAGTGGCAGGCAGAGGGAGAAGCAGGCTCCTGCTGAGGAGGGAGCCAGCCCACCATGGGACTCGATCCCAGGACCCTGGAATCATGACCCGAGCCGAAGGCAGACGCTTAACCGACTGAGCCACCCAGGCAGGCACCCTCAATGTTATCTGCTCTTGTACTTCATCTTTAAAGGTCCTTATTTCTTATATTCTACAGTTCCTAATTTGTGTTTCTAGGTGGCTTATGTAATAACTGGACTAGATGAGTGAGAAGGAAAAAGCCCTGAGGCTGATGTATCAGTCCGTGAAGACCCTCATTACTGCCAAAGTAAGGAAATGTGATTATTGTGTTGTTACCTTTGGTAATAAAGACGTTTCTTTATTTTGTAGTATTGTTTGGACATCACAGTTTGGTTTGGGGAGGAGGCAGCTTCACTATTTATATGACATAATATTCATTTCAGAAAAACAATACTTAACGGAATGATTCAAAATGCTTTTTAAGAGAGACATGGTCAATCCAGATCATCTTCCCAGATATACTCTAAATTCTAAGGTGAAAGCAATCCTAAGGATATAACAATTTCTTTTTTACCTGATGAGTATACTGAGACTAAGAGCATTCAGCAACTTGCCTAAGAACATGCAGCAAGGAAGTCACACGACTGTAATTGCCTAGTTATCCTCTATAATATGACCAGATACATCTAAAATGCTGGTTTGACCCAGAATAAAGAAATGTATAAAGTATAAAATGAATAAAGTCAAAAGCTTTTGGTCTCAGGTTCCTTATCTGAAAAAGGAGGTTGGTCTAGATCAGAAGCATATAACCCTCCCACCCACATACACCTCTCCCCCACCCCCAAAGAAAATATTTGGTAGAAGTCCAAATATGTAACAACTAGAAGTAGTGTTTTGGGTCTTGTGCCTCAAAGAACAGCCTGAAACAGCTGGAATAGATGATCTCTAAGGTCCCTTCCTTGGCTTTTAAGCCAAGACTTAATCTTAAAATTTCTATGACTTAGAAAAGTATTAAATTATCTGCATACTCAAGGTTATGCAGATTTGTTTTTATGATGCACTGCTGGTAAGATCTCTAATTTATTGAATGCTAAATCAGAAACACAACTCTCAATTCAAAGATGTTTCTTATGAGAAAAATACAATTCTCTTTACTAAACTGTTTTTAAGAGAAATGTGACCTGTATAAAATGATGTCCAGATCTTTGACTGAATCAACAGATCAACAGCATTTAGGAAATGTAAACTGGGATCCTTACTTGGGAGAAAGCAGCAAATCCTGACAAAAGAAGTTGATTTTAAATCACAAAATAATAGGTTTATATATTATGCCTGTGGGTTAGCATACAATCAGGCCAGTCTAATTCTACATGTACAGTATTGTATTATTAGATATGATGTTTAAATAATCTTTAAGGCATTCTTGTATAATTTCCTCAAACATTAAGAAAGATTTTATTACTCCAAAATACTAAATTAATATATTTAAACTTTTTTTTTCACCAACAAGTATTCTGTTTAATTTTGATCCTTGAAACTTACTACAATGATAAGGAAAGTTCTGTATCATTGTCTCTTTCAGGTGACTAGGACATTGCTTTGATGTGTCTTAATCACTATGAACTTCTACTCCACATGTAGGGTCTGAATCTTTTTTGGGAACATGGATACCTTGAGAATTTGATAAAAGATACGGCATCTCTCCCTGAAACACTGTACTGGAAAACTTGCATACAGCATTCAGGGGTTTACGGATACTCAATGCTCATTTCGATGTAAGAATCTAAGGGTCTCAGGCAAAGAACATTTACAGGGGCACTAGAGGTCTACATGAAGATGGGGGGCCAGCTCCCATAACTTCAAAACTTATTAGCACTGACATGTGTAGATTCTACAGCAGGGTTCCTCATAACAGCACTGTTGTCATTCGGGACCAGATAATCCTTTGTTGTGAGGAATTATCCCGTACATTGTAAGGAGTTTATCAGTATGTCTGCACTATCCACTAGATGCCGATAGCCCCAGTCATAAAAATAAAAAAATGTCTCCAGATATTGCCAAATGTCCTCTTGGGAACAAAATCACCTCTAGTTGAGAACCACTGTTCTAGACAATGATTAGAAGGCATTTCTGAAAAGAAGGGCTATTTCATTATTTGCATCACATAAGTTATGTGTTATTTTATTTGGTACTTGATTATATAATGTCTTTTTCACTTTAGAGTTTTCTCCCAACTAAACCAAAGGCAGCTAAAGTCACCTTCTTTTGTATTCCATAATATTTAACATAGTGCCAGACACATAGTAAGTACTTAATAAACACTTAATTGATCTGTCTTGAAGGAAGAATTCTTATTTCAAGCCAACTGTTTGATCTTGCAAGTTTGGAACATACTCTCTCCAACAGAAAATGAATCAAATCTTTAGGATATAAATATAAATGGCCTTTATCCCAAAGTGGTGTGTGTGTGTGTGTGTGTGTGTGTGTACATGTGTGTATGTAAGAACCTACAGCTCTAGAATAATTCATGAAATATTATTTTCAGAAAATATATTTTCTTTCTTTTTCTTTTTTTTTTTTTTTTGGTATTTAGCTTGTTTGTAACAACAAAGAAAGAGTTATCTTCAGTTAAATACAGTCTGAAATTTTTTGCCTGGCTCTCACTTAAACATACCAAATGTGTATTAAGTAGAATGACAAACACATTGCAGTGAATTAACACAACACCATGATAACTTAAAAATGCTTTGTTCTCATTGTCATCATGAGGTCATTTAAATCTCTTGCCACAGATCACAGTTGTTTATGTTCTGGTTCTTAAAAATATGTCCATCCCAGAAGTCTCTTGGCATATGCACAAGAACATTCTTCAGACAGTTTCAGCCTCACTTGAGAGCAGCCACTATGTGACTAAAAAACAACTTCGTTATAGCTGTTTTTAAGTTTTGCACAAATTTGTTTTAAAAAATTGTAAGTGTATAGCCAAAGACTGCCGCATTAAATATAAATTAAATACAATAAATATAACATATTTATATATAATATATAATAAATATAACATCAATAATCCTACAAATAAGTGGTAAAAAACTCTTTCAAAGCCAACCATGAACACAGATGACTCAATGATGACAATAATTTAAGTGCAATCCATTCAGAATGATTTTGGCAGTTTGCATACATACAAAAATACTTTAAATTTGCTTTCAAAATCCACTAAAACAAAAGTATACATTTCTCCTGACCTTACTACTCATGTGAAATATTTGGAAAGTCTTCAACAGGTAGGACATGAATAACTTAACTCAACTAGGTACTGTAGTTGGTTTTGTTTATAAAAACAAAATGCATGTTTTAAGATTTCTGATATAGGCTGAACTGGCACTTTTTATTTAAGTGAGGACTTAGGGTCCATTGAGAATATTTATGAACACTTACGGCTCTATCTTTATTTATGGTTGCATGTTTAAATCAAACAGTATAACACTCAATTCCAAAAAGAGCTTTTAAAATGTAACTAACTACCACCACCACCACTGCACGGGAACTCCCAGCTTGGAATTCACTCTGGGTATAAGGGTTTTAGAGGAAAACCACCAACCATGTCCTGAGGAACACTGAGGTCAAAGGCACCCCTTCAAACTGGCCAGTTATCCCCAATGGTGTGGAGAGAGGGAAAAACACACTTACTTATGTAACAGAGGTCACAGGAATACTTGTTCCCTATGAGTAATGGTGATCTTCACCAGTGGCATTTTTTGGTGATTCAAGTGATTATGTACTTAGGATATCCTCAAAGCATACTGGTTAAGTCAACTATCAATCTTTATAATGAGAAAAATGAAGATGTGAAATGTTTTGAACTTGGTTCAGGACTTGTTCAGAACAAGAAATTGTTTAGAACATGTTCAGAATTTGGTTCATTATTTCTTATTTTAACTTCTGTAATCCCTCTCTCTTAAATTCTTACAGTACTGTGTATATTCTTTTATTCTGTACCATTTATCACAGTTGCAACTTCATAATTTGTGTGATTTTTAAAATTATTATTAACAGCTATCTACTTTATTAGCTTGCAAGCTCCATGAGGGTAGAGGCCATTCATAGCTTGTCTCCCTGAACCAGTCCCAGTGAGAGTCACCCTGGTGGCTAGTGGAGGGCCATCATATACATACCTAATAAATGTCTGTTGATAAATGAAAGGATAAACAAGTCAAATTTGTTGCCAACCTTACGGACAGAGGGCAACAATGCATGAAACTAAAAAAGTAAAATAACAACTAGTTTGAGGAACA